TTTTTTTTTTTTGGTACCGGGGATCAAACTCAGGACCTTGCGCTTGTGAGGCAGGCGCCAGAACCACTGAGCTAAATCCCCGGCCCATATGTATACTTCTTAAAGAGCAGAAATCCAAATAATCTGCAAAGTCGAAACAAAAATGTTTTATTTTGCTCTTTAAATTACAGTTTTCTCACATAAGAGAAATCCTGTGATTTATAAGCTTATTTGTCCAGTTTACTTCATTTCACATTATTGCGTGAAAAAGAGAGATGTATCTTTTGCAAGAAATGGAGAGATGGGTAGACAAGGGAGAGGAAGGGGGTGTAAAAAGAACTAAGATGTTCCATGTACATGTACCAACTCCTCCCCACAATGAATGTAATTACTATGCACTGCAAACATACGAATATAAAAATTTTTTAAAAACAAATGTTACAATGCTATCAACTCAGTAGCTCTAACGTATAACATTACTTTGAACTCACCTCTCTCCAGCTTCTCAGCATCATTACATAAACAGACTAAAAAATAAAGAGAAGGAAATTAAAATGCTCATTTTCAACAGATTTGTTCAGAGACACAGTAGTCCCACATCTCATTTAAGATTTTTTTTCACACAAAAATTTAGAAGCTTACCTCAGAATTTACTAAAGGGTCTCCAAGTGTTCACATTGAAAAGTAAATCAAGCAAACACTGAAAGGTTAGTAAGACTACAATCAAAGGAGTTAATACAATAGATAAGGAATAAGAAAAGCCCAGGGTCATCTCCCTTTCAATTGACTTGACAATATTTTGGTTGATTTTCTTTTTTCAATTTATTTGACAACATTTTGATTTTCTTTGCTTTGCTTTGCTTTCCTTTGCTTTTTTTAACAGTGCTGGGATCAAACCCAGAGCTTTGTGCATGCGTGGTTGAAATTTTTTTTTTTTGGTACCAGGGATCAAACTTGGGACGTTGCCCTTGTGAGGCAGAAGGCGGAACCACTGACCTAAATCCCCGGCCCCTGAAATTTTTAATAATTAAAAGTGTTTCTCCATTTAAGTTAAAAATAAATAAATAAAAGCACAGGAACAAAGTGATATACAGAAAGTTCCTATTCCAATGATTTCTATTCTAAGTTGAATGCCTCAAAGCATTTTAATGATCCTAAACTACCTAAGCTAAATGCCATGTTAACTATATGATAAATACACAGGATTAGGTATCCTCATCATCATTAAAACATATGTTAAGGAAGGTTATGAAAGTATATCCCTGAATCAAGAAAACAAGCAGCTGGGTGTGGTGATACGCACCCATAATCTCAGCACTCTGAAAGGCTGAGGAAGGAGGACCCCAAGTTTAAGCCCAACCTGGGCAATTTAGAAAGATCTCATCTCAAAATAAAAAGTAAAAAGGGCTGAGGATGTAGCTCAGTGCTAAAGATCTCATCAGCTAAAAGTAGAGGAAAGAAATCAATTAACTAAAAATTATGACTACCTAATATTAAGTTTTGGACCACTGCTGATCATCTTTACCAACAACTGCCTTCAGCCCGACACAAGCAAATGCCAAGTGACAGAGCGAAAGAGCTTACTTTTGTCCCCAGATAAAAGATCTGACCACCACAGCTGCTGATGGATTGGTAACAAGCCTTCTCTCCAACCAAAGCCTGTAAAAAAAAATTAAAAAGGTAAAAAGTACATGCATTAGAAGTCTCATTAACTTTTAAAGAATGTTGATTATAGAGATAACATTTTAGGTCAATGTGGTTTCATCCCACAAGGGGGTAGAGAAAAAATCCCAATCAACCACCAATCTGACAGTGGAAATGCTACAGAAAAGACAAAGTTCAAGAAGTAACTCTCTGCTTCCATAAAGGGACTTTCTAATTTTCAGAATAATGTGGAAAGTGAAAGAAACATGCCAATATGTAAATCTGAAGGAAAACTGTGGCAACCTGCACTTTATTCAGTGACAGTCACTGTTTCTGGGAAAGAATGGGGCTGACTGAAAAACAGTATCTCCAAGTTCTCCAAAATAAATATCAACATAAAACCCAAGACCAAGCAGGAAGATAAAGAAGCATAGTATATGGGAGTCAGCAGAGCCCAGCAATATAGAACAGATGTTCACTGATAAAACTGGGTCACAGATTTTGGCTCTGCCACTTCCTCACTATGACAGTAAATTAATTTCAAACTTCTGACATTCAGTTTAAACAGGTTAATATTTATATATCTGTCAAAACATATGTGGTCAATAACTGAAAACTATGATGACATTTTCTAACATTTTATTAGGGGAACTTAAAAATGTATTTAAAGTAGAAAGATTAATTCCTGAACATATCCACCAACCAGCTTCATCAATGATCAACTCATTACCAATACTGTCTCACCTATATTTCCACTACTCCCCTACAGATTCCAGGTTCTCAAATTTCACTTATGAAAATTCAGTATACATTTTTCTTAAAATGAGTCTTTTTAAACATACCTCCACTCCATTAACATTCTCTGAAAATTAAAATAATTCAAAATCAAATATTCAGCTAATGTTTGGACTTCAAATTGTGTAATGGCCAATGCTGAGATTTTTCTTTGCTGTTCTTGTATTTTTTTTTGCAGGATCAAGATCACATATTGGACCTGGTTGATAGGTCTCTTAAATCTCTTAATCTCTATAGGTTGTGCCTCTATTCTTTTTATCCTTTATTTCCTTTGAAGTTTATTTGTTGGCCGAGCTGAAACATTTATTCTGTATTTTCCTACTGCTTGGAATTGGCTGACTATCCCCACAGAACTGTTAAACATCTTTCTGCCTTCCACATTTTCTCTAACAGTATTTACTCCAGCCCTAATGCCTCTGCATCCTCTATCCCATACCCTGTGAAGCATGAAGCTTTCCCTTCGAAAGCATGGTGTGATGAGCCTTCTGCCTAGCCCTGGGTGAGTACTGAAGAGAGTTCCCTCCAAACCTTCCCAATGGTTCTTTCCCTGCCCTTGGGTAGTTTCCTTATATGCATTTTCCTAACCAGTAGTCTGCTCAGTTCTCAAGGAGGACACAGATAGTGTTCTCTCCAGTACTCTATCTTACAAACTCAACCCACCTTTGCCTTTGTGGTACTGCCTGCCTTCTTGTTTGAAGGGGTAACTATCTATGTCTACTTTACAATAAATTCTACCTATATTTCTACACAGCCACCTATGTGTCTTGACTGAAGGGCACCAAAAACCAAGGATCAAGGAATTGAGGGGCCAGTTCTTCGCTGTGTCAGGACCCAGCTTCCTGTTTACATTAAAGGCCACCTGTCTCTAGTTATTTATCCCTTACATCTACAAGGTTTACTGCCATCAGGTAAAACTTCTTAAAAAGTTTTTATTTTTATAAATTCTTTCTCACAAATTTCAACTTCATTCTTTTTTTACTTTAAAAATTAGAACTCTGATATGAAGCGAAATTGTCACATTTCTGAAGAAAAGGTAATAGGGATTGTTGTTTTGGCTCACATTCCTGAATACCTACAAATGTACCCACACCCACTTCAACCTAGTGGTTTTTAAAGAAATACCTCAAGACAGAAAAATAAGCTCCCAAATTTCCTATTCCAGAAAGAAAAAACAACACCATAGTAAATTCATCAAAGCAAGACCAAGATAATGGATTACCCTTACCAGTGCCTGACTAACGTTTCCTCCAGTGGCGAGTGACTTGAAATGGCTGCTATTATAAACCAACTGAACTTCTGAGATCTCCACTGTTTCTAATTCCTCTTGTGTCTGCCGGTCAATTACATGCAACTTCTCCACGCTGTCTAAGAGCACAATTGTGCGTGAGTTTATCCACTGCAATTCAAGCACACAACAAATTAAAGTGAGGTCTACCTCACATCAATTGGGACAAGAAGAAAACTCGACCACTCAGTTACATTGCATTGAGAACCTCATCCATTACATGGCAACACAATCACAGCAAGAACTACTCAGGGGCAGCCCAGAGAAAACACAGTACTGAGTTTTAACAGTGTCAAAATGATACTTTGAACTGGGCATGGTGGCATATGCCTATAATCACAGTACTCTGGAGACTGAGGCAGAAGGTTCACTGAGTTCGAGGCCAGCCTGGGCTCCACAGTGAGTTCAAGGCCAGCTTGAACTGCATAGCAAGAACCTGTCTCAAAAAACTCAAAATTAATTAATTTTAAAATGACACTTTGAGAATGTAAGAGATGACTAAGAGCCATATTAGAAAGATTATAGGATATACGGGTTTCTGTAAGATATTTTAAAGGCACATCAGCCCAGTGACAAACTCTACATTTTAATTTTTTATATTAGTGAAACAAAAGGACAAATGAAATCTCATAAGCCTAGCTGGTCAAGGGCTGATTGTTAGCACTGAAGTGATACATATTTTAAAACAGAACTTATGTGAAAAATATATTTCCTTCCAAACCTCCCTAAAAATTATTCAAAGTGCTTCTCCTGTACTTCCTCTGATATTAATGGGAATGTATTTGTATGGCCTAGTTCATGTTATCAGAGATTATCTGTATAATGCCATATCAAAGATAACCAAATGGAAAACAGGTTAATTTTCTTCTAACATATGCTAAAGTTATATTCTATAACTATATAGTAGCCGCTGTAAGGTTCCCCCTCCAAAATCTCTCTCAGAAATGGGGAATTTGATACACAAATATTTTACAAAGAACTCTTACAAGGTCTTCTCTTAATTACTTTGAACAACAAAATATCATTTAGGAAAGGCACTTTAACCTTGTAAAACTTTAAATCAGTGCTAGCTTTTTTAGGTGCTTTCAAAAGTTGCCTGGCTAAAAGAGAGAGAGAGAGAATCATAGATGCAACTGAGTGCCCACACTGGCAGTACCCATGCTAAAATTGCAACCATACAGAGATTAGCATGGCCCCTGTGCAAGGGTGACACAGGGATTTGAGAAGCACTCACATTTTTTTGAAAACCCTGGCAATTTCTGGTGTCAGCTGGCCAGGAACACACAAGAATTTAGAATTCTAATGTGTGACATTGATGACTACTGCAAAGCCACAGCAGCCCCTTACAACAGGGTCTCCCCAGCTTGTTTAGCAAAGCGAGCAGCAAATGGACAGTGGTCTAGAGCCCTGGCAAGTGAGGAACACATCTGTAGGCTGGGGATTTAGCTCAGTGATTCCGCCACCTGCCTCACAAGTGCAAGGTCCCAAGTTCAATCCTCTGTACCAAAAAAAAAAAAAAAAGAAGAAGAAGAATACTATCTGTACAGTATGGAGACAAAGCTGTGGTATCTGTAAAGAACATTTATTCAACTAGTGATGAGTTTTTCAAGGTTGGAGCTCAGGCTTTCAGGTACAATCTTTATAGCTCAAATCAGCCAAGTAGTGAAAATCCCTTTGGGATGAAAAGGTAATACAGGCTTTTAGTGAATTTTTCACAGAATGCACAGCAAAACAATCTAGAATAAAAATGCACATTATTTGCTTTGGTCTCAGTACACAATGAATTGTTTAATGTTGTGCGCCCTTCCAGAGTGCATGCCATGTTTTGGTAGAAAAGAGACTTATAAGACTGCTAAAACTTCAGAAGTCTCTGGAGTCTTCTGTTCAGCTACCTTCCTACCACTATTCTACATATGATATGAAAACTAGAAGTGAGGAATCAGTGTATATAACACATGTTGATGACCCCTGGACATTTTAGTGCCAGGGGGCAAGAAATTTGAATATTTTAGAACAGTTGTCATGTAATATCACACAATTAATTAAAGTTTTGCACAGTGTACAAACATCTTCCTGACCCCTAGAAGCTTATTCCCTGCCAAGTATACTGATGGCAACTGGTACTAGGAACTAGTAATAGAAAAAGAGCCAAGTAAATTCTTCTTTGCTCATCTGCTTCTGATACCTCATGATGTAATGAGATTTTACTTTTGCCTGTGCGGGCTGTGAATGTTCATTAGCTGACCTTCCTAATCATACACCAGAAGAAGTTACAACATGGCTTTCAGGAGATTATTTTAGATAAGTTACTGAAGGCCTTCTTTGTAGCAAAAGATCCAGATAGAACACTGAGTACAGAGCTACATGATGACTGTATTCAAGTCAATGCTAATATTAACAAGAAGTTAGGGATACCTGGTTACAAAATTAGAACAAAGGAAAAAAAGAAAGTGAATCACTCCTCTCCACAAATGAAACTTTTGAAGAAAAAAAGAAAATGTGAAATTTTCATCTATGGAGTATTTAAGTAAATGAGGAAAGAACCTATTACACACTTCAGAGATTTTGGGAGAGTCATGCAAACTTAAGATCAGCTCACCAAGAAACTAGCTCAAATGTTTACAAAATTCAACAAAGACAAAACTGTTACTCAACATTAGGGCTTGGTGGGAAACAAAAACACTAAGTGTTTCTGTTTACAAGAGGAAAGGAGACATTTTTCATCAAGGAGCCTGAGAGGGGCCCTCTTTCTGTTGTTCACTTCTGCTCTATCTTCTAGAACTCAGGACCATAGCCTTCATGACCCCCTGTCCCTCTGTAGTGTGGAACCAGGTAGTGGCACAGCCAGGAGGCCAGAGGGTGGTGGTGGGTGGGTGCTGCAGGCAACTAAACTGGTTGCTGGGAGGTGGGGCATGGGCAGGACAGAGCCCAGCTCCACGTGGCTGAGGTCTTCAAGAAGACATCTTTAATGAGCTACCTTTGAAAGCCATAAAATTGGAAGCTACCTTTCCAGAGGAAGAGGAGATTCACATAACAAAGATTTGCCTGTAATCCTAGAAAAAACTATAATACCAGGCTTTAAAACAATTGTGTGTTGGGTGTGGTGGTGCAAGCTTATAATCCCAGCACTCTGGAGGCTGAGGCAGGAGGATTGCTGCAAGTTCAAGGCCAGCCTTGGCTACATGATGAGTTCAAGGCCAGTCTGAACTACATGCTGAGACCCTGTCTGGAAAAAAAAAAAAAAGAAAAAGAAAGAAGAAAGAAAGGAAGAAAGGAAGGAAGGAAGAAAGAAAGAAAGAAAGAAAGAAGAAAAGAAAAGAAAGAAGATTTCAGAAGCAAAGGTGAAAATATTCATGAGAAAATGAAGAAATACTGTAAGATCAGCATTGCTAAGAGCTATCTGCTTTATGAAAAAGATGGGCCAGAGACCAAAGGAGCATTAGGACCTCCAGTTCTGATGTTGGACTTAAGAAACCAAGTAATAAAGCTGTAAAAGATAAAACATTATATGTGGAGCCACAAACAGATGAGCTCTCTGAAAGAACTGAGAAAGATTTAAACATTACTGAAACCAAACCAAGTAAATCCTATGACGCTGGAACTGATAACATTTTTGAAGCTCTTGAAAACCCATGTGATGGTAGAATTGGTTCTGAGGTACTAGAAGGTACAAAAGAGAGCCATTTGGTTGACCAAGCACAGTTTAGCAATGAATTCCTAACTGTATTATTGCCACATGCCAGTGAAACAACAGAGATCTTAGTACTCAATTTCTTTGGGGTTCCACATTCCTCTGTTTAAGAAGCAAAAGAATTCTTAGAACTAGAATCCATTGAGTTACAGCATTCTCTAGTTGGGGATGAAATACAGAACTGAGCCTGGAGCGATGAATTATGCCACTCTGCTGTGGCACTGAACCACCTTGGGACCATTTACAGTGCAGCTTCCCCATAACTGTGAAGCCCAGACACAGCCAGAACTAGAAATTCCCATAGCCCAGCTGTCTCCTGAGGACATCAGTCCCTCTTCTGTAATGGTCAGTGAGAAAGCCCAAGAGCCTGGGCATGCTAAGGACATGAGAAAGGCAGGCTGAAGAACCCTTCTGATGACCAGCACAGGGCTCCATTGCACCTGCACAGGGAGAACCATGACCCCAAGATGCACACAGAAATAAATCTATTTGAAAACTTCCCAGAATATAAAAACAGGGAGGCCACTTTATCCTTGATACCTCTGTTCTCTGAGGAAGAATCCAGAAGAGATGGAAGGGGACACAATTATGCTTTAGCAGAAAATGGCTCAGCTCAACTGCAGAACATCTACATTCTGGAATATTTACTGTTGGATCCAAATGTGTTGTGTGGTCAAGTCTAAGAAACACATGGTCTAAACATGAGATTTTTGGAAGTAGATGAAGAAGGCACAAAGGTTCTGAACCTTTCAAATGGTATGGAGGAGACAACCCCAAGGATGTCTGGAACAGCATACCCAAGTTGGATGTGTCTATTTGAGGCTGCATTCCAAACAGCAGGAAAAGATCTTCACTTCCTGTCACTGGATGATACCGCATCTAAAGAAGAGGGGTTTGGAGGTGACCGTGGTTCCACTGAAGGCTCATAGATGTAGACAAGGGACATGTTATCCAGATCAAGAATACTGGAAGATGCTGGAAGCACGTCGCCACAGGAAGGTGTCACTTTTGAAAATTGATATGTGTTGAAAATAAAATAGATCAGTATAGTATGGTTTCTCTATTTATGGATTTGGGATCCTTCCTCTGCCTTTTTTTGTTTTTATGTTTCTAATCAGCTGGGAGGATTTATTATGTTAAACCATTTGTTAACACATTATTCATATTTCAAAAGAAAAACTTTTGGTATCTTTCCAGTATAATGTTTACATTAAAACAGAAAAACATAGCTTCACGAGAAGTCCATTACATGATGCTACTCAGGATAATGGCTTTGTTAGCGTAACTCCTTTGGAATTTTTAGTTTGATTCTGAACCTTTGCCTTGTCTGCCCTGTTAAACATTTCACTATTTTTCTGTTTGGATTGGGAAGTTTGTTAATATGACATGAGATTAGAATGAAGTTTATCCTTAAAGGCAA